CATGGATGGCATGTCGTGGAAGTTGGCAGGAAGTACTTGGGATTGGATGATCCCTTCGGTGTGATTCCTGACTTGGAAAGCTATGCCCAGGGTGAAGAGGTCATCATCCTCACGATCCTCTCTGAGAAGGAGGAGTGTCTTGCACGTTTTGGAAGTCTTTTGGCTGCAGGTGGCTACACCATGGAAGAGCCCTACGAGCCTCCTCATCGAGGTGAACCTGGTGAACCAGAAGGCATGGAGATAGAAGGTTTGGTGATTGAGCCGATCTTGGACGAGGGCAGAGATGAAGTCAGTGGACGTGAGATACCTGAATTCCAGGAGATTGCCCCAGCATTGCAGGAAGATGCAGAGGCCGAACTGATCAGGGTCAATGATGTGGACGTGCCCACAATAGCTCAGTTGAGATCTTGCCAGCAGCTGGAAGGTTATTGGGTGTCTCAACATCAGGTTCCAAGAGGAAGATCTTCAACATGAATCAGAGCTGCCCCACGTTTCTGCCTTGCATTTGAGGGCTTTGGAAGTTGCTAGAGGTGAATTTGAAGCGATGCAACCTCACCCACGTTTTCAAGATGCCCCTGCGCAGCCTTCAATTCAGGAGAGAAAACTTCATGAGGTGACCCACATTCCCTTCAAGAAGTGGTGTTCAGTTTGTGTTCAAGCCAAGAGCAGACCAAACCATCAACGGGCAACACCACCAGATGAACTAGCACAACGTTCTTATCCCACATTGCAGTGTGATTTCTACGTGGTCACTGGCAATTTGAATTTTCTGATCATGGTTGATGGCTGGACGAAGTTCATAGGAGTTGAGCCTTTGAGAAACAAGCTGCAATCAGTTGTTGGAGCTGCGGTGGCAAAATTCCTTGGAGGACTTGGATACTATGATCGTGTCGAGCTTGCCTATGACAATGAACTGGTGCTTGCAGCAGGCATGACAGTAGCTCAAACCATCCGTGCAGCCCAAGGACTTAAAACAGTTCTTCAACCTGGTCAGATGCATGGGAAGTCAAGGACATCCCTAGCTGAAAGAAGCATCCAGACAGTGAGATCTCAAGGAAAGGCTTTGATGGTGCACCTGGATGAGAAGCTGCGTGTCAAATTTCCAGCTGAACATCCCCTGCGAGGCTGGTCAGTGATTCATGGTGCTTGGCTTTTGAATAGATACCATGTGGCATCATCATTGGGAACAACGGCATTCATGAGTTTGAGGGGACGCCCCTGCAAGGGTGCCTTTGGTGAGGTGGTGTTTGCACTTGATCCTCTTCAAGCCAAGTATGCCTTCATGTTCCAGTTGGAGGAGTTGAACCAGAGCTGGACGAGAACGAGAAAGCAGTGCATGAATATGCTGAACAACATCCACATGAAGATGCTGAAGATGTGGAAGATGTTTCACAGCCCAGGAGCTCACGGCAAGATGGGGCTGTTATGGAAGTTTCAGATGATGTTCAAGAACAACAACAAGTGATGGAATCTGAAGTGCAATTGGCACGTGACAAAAGAGCAGGTGAGGAGACCAGATTACCCATTCCTGTGCATCAACGAGTTGCAGAAGCTGAAGCAGCAAAAAGGTCACAACACCCAGAAGGAGAAGGGAGTCATGCCAAATTTGTCAAGTACGACCCCGACGCCGAGATCATTGCCTCCAGTCCCAAGCAGCCAAGAACGGAGCTCTACAGCCCGACCTATGCAGACAACCTTGGAAGTTCCCCTGCTGAGTCATCAACATCAAGGAATGCGAGAAGGGTGGTTGATGAGTTGGAGCTGTATGATGAGGACGAGTTGGACTTTGAGATTCCTGAAGATTCATGGGATTGGGAGCTTTGTGAGGATGTTGGCGGTTTTGATGAGAACAAGGTGTCCATTTCAGAAGATCAACGCAAAGAGGTTTCTGCGACGAAGGTGCTGGACCCCCAGAAGTTTCCCCAGAGGAGTTGGCATGGTTGGATGCAGAAGCCATGCAATTGGAGTTGGACAGGTTGCGTGACTTAGATGTCATTGGAAGTGTCGATGCTGGAGTGGACCTGGACAACTGCGTCAAGTTGGACACTCGTCTAGTCAGAGATTGGCGTTCTCGAGAATCAAGATGTCGCAGAAGAGCCTGGCTGGTGGCAAGAGAGTTCAGAGATGGTGACTGCAGCAGTGCTGTGACATTCAGCCCAACAACTCCATGGGTCATTGTGAAGATGTTGATTGTGCTGAGTTTGATACATGGGTGAGCCATTGCTTCACTGGATGTTGGAGATGCATTTGTGCAGGTGCCTCAGCTGACTACGGTTTCGATTGAAATTCCAAGATGGGCACTTCAGTCAAGTGAACATGGAAATGGCGTGCAGTCTTGGATCCTGAAGCGATGCCTGCCAGGACAAAGAGCAGCAGCATCAGAATGGAACAAATACTTCACCGAGATCTGCGAGCGCTATGGCTGCATCAACTTTCAAGGGACAATGTTCAAACACAAGGATGAGATGGCCTTCATTTCTGTTCACTTTGCTGGTGGTTGGAACGAAAGAGTACATCACAGAATTCCACACTTTCCACAGAGTTGAAACTGAAGACTGAAGATCCTTTGCATGCGGTGATGATGGTAGCATGTTCTAACTCAAGCGTGAGTTGCAGTTTGTGGAGGATGGCACCTACCTGGCACCAAGCTCCAGATACATCCCACAGTTGGCAGAGATCCTCAAGATCCACGATCGAAGGGGCAAGACAGTTCCCCATCATGGATGTCTTCAGATCCACGATGTGGAGGCAGCTTAATCTGAGGAGTACCTGGGACCTGAAGAATCAAAGCTTTTCAGATCAGCATTGGGAATTTGCATCTATGTGAGCCAGGAGCGATGTGACATCCAACACTCTGTCCGAGTTTTGGCAACCTACATTGCCAGACCTACCAAGACTTCAATGAGCACAATCAAGAAGTTGGCAAGCTACGTGATCCACACCAAAGACATGAACATGTTCTACAACAAGGTGGAGTTGAAGGAGACTGCAATGCAGAAGTGGTATGGTGGACAGGCGAAAACAGACACCAAGCCCTACACGTTGGAGCTCTTTAGTGACAGCGATTGGGCATCATGCAAGGTGAGCAGGAGAAGCACGAGCTCAGGACTCATCTTTTTGAATGGATGTTTGATCCACAGCCACTCACGATCACAGACATCAGTGTCTTTGAGTTCAATGGAGGCTGGGATCCTTGCAGCCACAAGCCTGTTGACAGAAGCCATTTACGTGAAGCAGGTGCTGCAATTCCTGGTGAATGACATCGGAGGCCTTGGAAGCCAACGATGTGCGGAGATGCGTTTGAGACTGGACTCCACAAGTGCGCAAGCTTTCTTCACGAGGCTTGGGCCAGGAAGAGCAAAGCATTTGTCAGCGAGATTGTTGTGGACACAGCAGGCGATGCGCAGACAGTGGTTTGTGGTGGATAAATTTTCAACAAAGGAGAACCCTGCAGACCTCAACACGAAGGCTTTGTCGAAAGAGCGCAGGGAGTTCCTCATCAAACGCGTTGGATTGGTTTGCGAACGATTTGAAGATGATGAAGAAGTTCCCTATCAAGGGAAGAAGCGACAATTGGTGAAGATGTTGGTCAACATGATCATGGCAACCAATCTACGTGGATGTGATGGAGGACCTTTGACCTGGACAAGTTCATGAGCACCTGGACGATGAATGCAGATCGACAAGGATGCGCTTGAACATTGCCATTGTACGCCATTGTGGTGATCATTGTGATGACGCTGGTGATGATTCGAATTTTCTACAAGCTGACTGTGAAGATGGAGGTTTTGGCCAACTACAAGACAACATCGGGACAGATCAGAGAAGCAATGCAATGCGCTTTGCTATCCCAAGAGGAGAAGAATCTCCCCACTGTGAAGAGTTGGATGGAAACCCTTTTGCAGAAACAGCTGAAGAAGAAGAGGAGATGAGCAATGACGAGACAGCTTCAGAAACAGGTGTGAAGTCAATCCATCAAGTTCCTCAAGAGCAGAAATTACCGAAGCAGATGTGGAAGCCCCAGCGATGCGACATCGAGCACTACCCTTAGCCTCCGAGAAGACAACTTTTTTTCTTAAAAAAACAGAAGCCTCCCAGAGAGTCTGCCAGACAAGTTTTTAGGCTTCTGGGAAAACCTTTAAAAATAGCAAGTTCAGAAGACCAAAAATTGATCTTCTAGCTTTTTTTTCCAGAAGACAAAATTTTAGGCTTCTAGGTTCCATCATTTTGGTACAAAAACATATGAACATATCATTGAAAACATGATATATTTAGAAGTTTGGGGCTATGCCAGACTTCCCAGCACATGTTTTTTTCCTGCATCATGTCGCCATGCACAACTAGTCAACTAGGATGTAGCCTTTCACAGGCTATAGTAGCCTTCACAAGCTCCTGGAAGAGCTGGATGGCTGCTGCAAATGTAAGAATGATGTGTCAGCCATCCATCTGAGCAAAGTTTTTCTGCAGCCATCCCTGGCTCAAATTTGCCACCCCTTCTGAAGGAGAGCTTCTGCATACATCCTGCAAATGTTTCATCTCGGTAGTTCCAAGAATCCTTTGGGTTGTGCCCCAAGGACACTAGATCCAGTATGTGGCTGGTCAAATGGAATTTGGCTTTGGATCGCCATAGCTTCATTTACAAATTCATCCACAGAAGTAGCTTCGGCCTCCAAAGCCATGTACTGGCTCACAAATTTTCTTCCAGCCTTCCCAAGCTCTAGTGGGTTGCCTTCTTGTCCATTTTGCTGCAATATTTTGCCACTTTGTACACAGCCTTTGATGCACACTGCCTTCATGCAAGCCTTTTTCCTTACACAGGCACTCCAGCAAAGGGCAAAAATGCCTGACCTCATGGGCCTTGCCATCCAACTCTGGCACCTTTTTGGGCTTGACTATGTCCTTCAAAGTTAACTTCTTCAGCCTCTTGTCCTGTGGCCAATGCTGCTCCTCAGAAAGAATTTGGATATATGCTCCCACAGCTGGGCCACCCTTTCATCCACATGCGCTCCAGGATACAAGGGAAGCAGCTCCTTGAAAATTTCCCAGCTGCCAGAGCATCTGTGCCTTCATCAAGGACATGCATCCAATCAGGCATCATAGTGTCATTGCTGACACTTGGCAAAATGAATAATGGATTCGCATCCTTTTCTCTGTCAGCCAAAACGTGAAGGTATTCAGCCTTGTCCAGGCTCTGCTCTTGCCTTTCCCAGGCAGGGCATGTGGTCACCTCCCTCCAATTTGCCGGCTTGGCCTTGCAAAGCCAGCACATGCCCTTGTATGCCTCTTTGTATTCCTCAGTCAAGGTAGGTGCTTAGCCTTCTGCTCCTCAGGCCTTTTTCGGCCACCAATGGTGACCTGCCTTCTCTTGAGGCTCGCTCAGCCCTTTGGAAGTCTTCCTGTGCCACATCACCGACTTCCTGTTACCTTCAAGTTCAATGGAACCGCCTTCACTTGGCAGTGTGAATGACTGCAACTATTACGTCAGCAGTGTGCCAATGGCGAACTTTTCTGCATCATGCCTGTGCCAAGGGCACCTGACGCTTTGGATGATTATCGTTGGGATCAGCTGCAGCTGATGCAAGGCATTGGACCAGAAAATGTGGTGTTGCATAATTGCCGAGGTTTGTCAAATTCAATTCCTTTGCAACGAGATCCAGTAGAACGAGCGCGGATGCTGAGACTTTTGAGAAACCTACAGAACCTCCTGGTGAAGTTTCAAAGTGGAAATCCCGAGAAACGGATTGAGGCGGCAGAGCAAGTAAGATGATGGCTCAATGATGACTGTGCCATGGAGTTCTTTGAAGAGGCAGAAACAGAGATTCAGAAGAAGGAGAAGAAGAACGGACTGATGATTCAGACCATTCCCAACCTGGAGATGGAGATGACCCAGAAGGTGGCCCAGATCGCGAAGACAGTCGCGACTATGACTACGATGATGATGACCATCGTGGTGGTGGCGCTGGTGGCTACAGCGGCATTGGTGGAAGTGGACCTCACCATGCGCGAGTCGCGGTCGCGGGGCGGCCTTCATCAAGCGCTATGCCTTCAAGAAGCGCTGGTTAGATAGACAGATAGCATAGGATGTACAGAAGCACCAAGAAATGAAACATCATGGAGCAACATGGATCCTGCGGTGCGAAATAGCATAGAAATTCTGCTGCGTAAGTATAGGCGAAATCAGGCGAAATACAGCTAAATGCGCTGGATTTCGAGATGGGGTGTCAAAACTTAGCATGGGTGTTCAACCCCGTATGCAGTAGCATGGTCACATGATCAACCGTGTAGTATCTGTACTTATCAGTGGCTCCAGAAGGTGAAAAGCGACTGTTCAATGTTTTGGCACTTTGGTGCAGGTTCAACAGGATTTGCGACCATTTAACTCACAGAAACCCAGCTGTTGGGGATACCACCGAAGCTTATTTTTGAACATACATACTGAACGTTGGTAGCATGGCTTTGGACTTCCACAAGACTGGTGTGATACTTCAGGTGATAACTCCAAGTCTGCAAATCCCAATACACAGCACGCCCTGAACACGCTGAGCACACCTGCCGGTCAGCAACACCACGGACCTCGTCAAAAATACATCCTTGAGTGTCTTGTTGACAGTCTGAAATGGTATCTGGATGCACAGTATCTGGTATCTTCATGTCCCAAACCAGTTTTTGGATTTGGCAAAATCTTTCAACGAGGCATATTTGCTCCTTTGTTGCCCATGATAACAAGATATAACAAGGATGCATCCGAACAGACCAAAATCGGTCAAAGGCCCAAATCCTACTGAATCTATCTGCATCCATCAACATCCTATGTTTGAAGGCCTGCCCACCGTGCCATCCTGGACTTGTGGACCACCAGGCCCTGGCCGGCCGCTTTTCGGGCGCACCAGAAGTCCACTAGTGGCACACAAAAACGCACAAGTAACACAAGGCCTACCCTGACTGAAATATATATATATATAGAAAAAAAACAAGTATGCCTTGGTTGGCACTTTCTATTGGGGTCACACTTTGAGTCGGAATCAAAGCGTTTGACATGGTCTTAGTTCATGCGAACATACCGTGGATTTGCCTCATTATCCTCGCACAGCAAAGACAACAAACGTCCTACATAAGAATGAACTGCCGTTCATCATGGAGTGAGCATTTGCATTGCCTCATGCAGCATGCTTTCCCCTTTTCAGTGTAGCCCATCAAATTCATTCATGTTTGTGACCGCGTCAAAGAACGACTTTGTTTGGAATCCTCTTGTTTGTGATTGCAATGGATCGCAAGTCATTGCACCTTGTGTTCGGAATCCAAATCACAACAATCATGTGTCATTAATCTAACAAAATATGAACATGGGTGTGGGTATGGGTGCATGAAAAGGGTATACACATGTACATACTATACTATACTATGTATATATATACTATATACTGTATATACTATACATATATAAATAATATAAATATATATATATATACACTACATAAATACTATATATATATACACATACATACTCTATATATATATACACTACATAAATACTTTATACATATACACACTATATATATATACACACTGTATAAAAAACTATATATATAACAACTATATAAAAACATAAACAAGCTACATAAATAAATACATATATATATATAGATATACATACTTATCAAAGGAAGTTTAGGGGGAGAAACTTCCGTGTTACGGACTTTTAGAATGTCAGGGAAAGAGTTAGTCAAAGAAAGAGTTAGCAAAGAAAGAGTTAGTCAGGGAAAGAGTTAGTCAAAGAAAGAGTTAGTGAGGGAAAGAGTTAGTCAAAGAAAGAGTTAGTGAGGGAAAGAGTTAGTCAAGAAAGAGTTAGCAAAGAAAGAGTTCAGGGAAAGAGTTAGTTAAAGAAAGAGTTAGTCAAAGAAACAGTTAGTCAGGGAAAGAGTTAGTCAAAGAAAGAGTTAGTGAGGGAAAGAGTTAGTCAAAGAAAGAGTTAGTGAGGGAAAGAGTTAGTCAAAGAAAGAGTTAGTCAAACAAAGAGTTAGTCAAAGAAAGAGTTAGTCAAACAAAGAGTTAGTCAAAGAAACAGTTAGTCAGGGAAAGAGTTAGTCAAAGAAAGAGTTAGTGAGGGAAAGAGTTAGCAAAGAAACAGTTAGTCAGGGAAAGAGTTAGTCAAAGAAAGAGTTAGTCAAAGAAAGAGTTAGTCAAAGAAACAGTTAGTCAAAGAAACAGTTAGTCAAAGAAACAGTTAGTCAAAGAAACAGTTAGTCAAAGAAACAGTTAGTCAAAGAAAGAGTTAGTAAAAGAAAGAGTCAGTCAAAGCAACAGTTAGTCAAAGAAACAGTTAGTTAAAGAAAGAGTTAGTCAAAGAAAGAGTTAGTCAAAGAAAACAGATCGTCAGGCAGAGTTGATGGGTGAGTCAAAGAAAGAGTT